GAATGAAAAATCAAAATATTAGGCATATATAATGCTGGAAACAAACAAACAAACAAAAACCCACCAGATAAAAACAAAATAAGAAAAATCATCTTTTCATTCTGCAGCTGAAACTTAAGTCTATTTACAGCTGTTAGTTTAGGATTTGTTCTGAAGTACTTGTTAAGCTACTGAAATCTAAGGACCCTATTTGGAAGGACTCTGCCCCTGTCCCTCCAGTGTTCACACCTAGCAGTAACAACAGATCTAACCACACTTTGCCTTTCTTTATTCTATAGTTACAGGCATTCCAGAGTTACTGAGAAACCCATTCATACTTGTGATTTTGTAGCTACACTTAAAATTGTGAATATTATTGCATGAATCCTCTTACAAAATTAGGGGCCTTCCTTGTGTTGCGCCCTTCCTTTAGTTCCTTGGTTTCTTTGAAACTGTTAGTTACCTCTTCTCAGATATTTTGAAATTAGATGTGTCAAGCAGTAAAAAGAGCTCTGAAGTATTTACTCTTCTGTTCCTGTTCACCTTTTCTTTTCTGAGGAAGTCAGCTGAACTGTGATTAGAAACACACATTTTTCAAAACAAACAGCTTATGAAATTTTTGGCATTGCACAGTAGGTCTGTCTTCTGATTACTCTCACTCAAAACAGCATGACTGGTAACAAAAACCTATTCATGGCTTCATAAATTTACCCAGCAGTATTTACATAAAACTTTTGACAGTCTTACAATTTGAGTTTGTGTCATTTCAGTATATCACATGACATATTCCATGATATATTAATAACATCAGTGTGGGTATAGCTTGCCCTTCTTGTCAGATTTAGAGGGTGTTGTCACAAATGAAGAAGTACAATTACCCCCATTTCCTACCGCATAATGTCATGAGATAACAGAAGTAAAAGTTGGGCACTACACAAAAAAACGTTTCCCTTAAATAATCACCTTGATTTCTTTTCTAGTCCAAGCTAATTTGCAAAATCATACCCCATTTGTGACTACATACTGTACTACTTGGAAAAGAAATAAAAAATTCACAAAAACTAACAGTAAAACAGATATCTGAACAAAGCAGACAACATAGCAGACAAACCTTACTCTACCTTGGGCTAGGTATAAAATTAGTGAAAAATTCAATGCTACCATTTCCACAGGGAAATAAGCTACTATGTTAGAATTTACAAAAATAAACCAAGCAGACTTGAGTTATGAGACCTGTCAAGTTTAGCTTGAAAAACTAAAAGCAGATTGATGGGAAGTTACAAGGCACTTTTATTTGCTAGCAGGTGAGATAACCATTGTGATACCACAGAAGTCCCTTGTTGATTTGCCATAATATAGCTTTTACATTTGTTCTTAAAGACAAAAACATGTAGCACACTGAAATCTAGAGATGATGCCAAACTGAAGAACTGTCATATAGCAAAGGCATGAAAACAGCAAGAAAAACATCATAAATACTAGCAAGATATAAAGTAAGATTTAACTGGCAAAACAGCAGCTTATACATGTTCAGGAAAATAAAAACAAATCATTGGAACATAATCCATGAATACAAAGCAGATATTCAGAAAAGGCAGCAAACATACACTGAAAATAGATTGAAACATCTATATCATCTGTTCTAGACCCTTTGTAACTGCAAAAGTATGCTAAACCTTGAAAAATGCTGGAGGCAAAAAATAAATTAGATAAGTCTTAGAAATAGTCTGTAATGTATACAACACCTATCAATAATAGATTTTTGTTCTAGAAAGGCTACTGGAAAGGAAACCATAATTTTAGCAATATATTCCTTAGCATGAGTTCAATTCCTTAGCATCAGGGTCAGATTAAATATCTCATTTCCTGTACACCTGAAATTCCTGTCAAACGATTTTAGAATGCTCAAAGAATGCAGCATTTGTTCAACAGCAATTCCAGGCTCCATCTGCCTATGCATTACACCATGGATAAGAGAAACACAGTCTCTCCCTTAAATGGAACTGATGAGAAAACACACATAGATGCCTTGTGCTTCACTACCAAAAACATGTAATGAAACAGGGAAAAAAAATAAAAAAATCAAAGAACCAGATACCCTAAGATTTTTTTAAAAAGAAACAATAATAATAAAAATTCATACAAAATCAAACACACACACACACACACAAAGGAACGAAAACCAAAGGCTTCAGGCTTTCCAATCTAGAGTAAATATAGCAATGACTCAAAAACCTTTCCAGTTTACAAAGAGTAAAAAAAGAGACTTCAAATCTCCAGTGAGAAAAAAAAATGGGGAAAATGGGAACTGTGGAAAAAAAAAATCAAAGCTATTTTATGTTTGGGGAAGAGTCTCTCTGGGGTCTACTAGTGCTAATGGCATGTAAACGGTAGCCCTGGGTATAGCAGCTACAATAGGAATATTCTGTCAGTAGCTTTTCCACTGTTTCATTATTCATTGTGGTCACTGTGGTCAGTGTAGGGGACATTCACTGATAAAATCCATTAGAGTGGAAGAGTTATAACGGTAAACAGAAAATGGTTAAGAAAAGGCTTTATTTCCCTTTTTTCTTCCTTTTTCTCTCTGATTCTTGATACAGAATTATTTTTTTTTTTATTTTTTAAAGCTTTGGTTTAAGCTATTTGCTATCATTATGGTTATTGAAAAACACATTGAGCTCAAATTATTCTATAATAAACATTGTAAAGACACAGAAATATAGTTAAATATGTTTATTAATCACTGCTACAAAGAGGAATATTGCAATAAAGGCAGGATGTTGCATACTGTACAGAAAGAAACAAAGCATGTGTGGTGGGAAACCTGAGCTGTGTAACATAAAATTCTGAATACCACGGTGTGTTGGTGTCTGGAATATCCAACTCTCACCACCAGTCATATATTGTGAGATATTTTACCTCTCTTTGGGTTTATGAGGTTACTGCAAAAAAAGGAAGCAGATAATCATGTCACTTCCCATTTTGTACCACTGTGGCAAGCACCTCAAGATGCACTGCCAGGGTTCAAAAGCAGAAAAGTCCATGCCTTTTCTATGCAAACAAACAGTTTCCACTTCTTTTTGAAAGTTACCTGAAGCAGCACTTTACCTGTCATGTACAGTACTCATAATTTGCCCTTGGACAGACAACTGCTGCTTCCCTTGCATGTTTTCCCTCAGCTGTTGTCACAAAAAATGAGTCCCTCCCCATTATTCAAGTCAACAACAAGGTCTTGCATTGGGCCATCAGCCACTCTGGCTTCCCATGGACTTCAGTTATTTTACTATATTCTTTCTACTTTTCACTGACCAAGGTCACTCTGGACTTAATGCTGAAATAATATGTATTTCTCACATGGGGTCATATTTAGTTAAAGTTAAAAAGAATCAACCAAAAAAAAAAAAAAAAGAAAAAAAGAAACAGTTTCAATGTTGTATTTTATAATAAATAGTAGCTTCTGACCAATTCAGATTGTTCCACAGCTTTTTCCAGCTTTCACTACCAGCTTTCTGAAGACCTATCTAATTCCCTCAGGACAACAACCAAGCCCATGCAGATATGTGCTCACACAGCTGCTGGTCATTAGAGAGCGTTTTTTTGGTTTGATATTTTTGTGGTACCACAAAGCTGACAAACACTCCCACTCAGGCCTAGAAAGCTTAGCATGCTCTTTTAGACTATACAAAAGAACAAAACCAGGCCTAATTCTCTGTGGGCCTCAACACCGTAAGCAAACAGCCGAGAACATAACTAAAGAACACTGTAAGTACTCAAAACTTAAAGACAGGTTTCCTGTTCCATGAGAGTTTAAGATCTAGGTATTTACCTAGAACATCTGAATATACATTCAGATGTATTTAAACAAATTTTGGTTGCTTATCCTTCAGTATATATAAACTGCAGCTAAAAAAAAAAAAAAAAAAAAAAGTAATTTGGGGTAAAATAAACATTGGAGAAAATTATTCACAAAATTATCATCCAGTTTTGCTTTGAGATATTAAGTTGAACGCTTGCTTTTCCATCTAATCACAAAGATGCCACAGCTTGGCTTCATGCATTCAGTTTCTAATTTACCCTAGCTCTGAACAGGAATTAATAGTGCTAATTAAAATCTCCTTAACTCATTCCATTCCTTTGATTAGCTATTTTAACTTCATTCAGGTAAATAAATGAAATTTCTGTTATCCTAATTTAACATGTAAGTTAGAATACATATACAGATTAAACTTATATTGACCTTTTAATGGCATTGAGACTAACATGCAATTTTTCATACCAATAGCTCAGATAAATTTTTGCACTGCAAGCGGGGAAAAAAATGATCACAAAAACTCCACTGATGTAAATTAGCACATTTCTGGGTCAAATCAGAAAATGCCAGTTTTGATCCTAATACTACAGATATGTCTTCTTCAGGAATGCAAGTATTCCCTCCCAGAGCAATGTGAATATAAAGTCTTTAAGCAACCTACATTTACACATGACAGAATACACAGAGAAACTACTGCATCCTGTTGAACTCAGGTCAACACATATCTATTAAGGCACTAACGAGGAAAGGGTAGAGATAAGGCTATTTAAGGAGATTAAAGCTATCTAAAGAATCTGTGCTTATTTCATAGAAAAAAAATCTTTCTTTTCAAAACAGTCCTGTGCTGTCTCTGTTTATTTTTTTGCTGATCTGACTCTTCAAAGTGGTTTCATTCTCAAATTCACAGGTACAGTTTTCTGGAAAAACGACAGCATTGGCTTTTATTTATTAAAACACTTAGTTGGTATTTTATCATGATTTAACATTTAATTGTTACTCTGTAGTCATCAGTAAAAATAAAGTTTTGTGAGTCAGCAATAAAGTATCTTTGTAGAAGCTTACAGCATATGTATTGTGTTTGAAGGTATCTTGGGATAAAACATAGCCTTAGCAATAAATATCAATCTGCTATTTCTACCTGTACAGATATTATGTTAAATGAAATAAAACAGACAGATAAATCAATGAAAGAAAATAAACTTCTAAATACCGTGACTGTTGCATCGTGATGTTTCCACAAGTCGACTATTTTGATCATAGCATGCCATGGCCTGGTAACGATAGCCTTGTCCACATTCCTTAATGTCTCCTTGCATCTTCATTCCCAGCAATACTTCAACTTTACCCTCTGGTAAAATACAGTCTGACCAATTTCCCACAGGCTGAGCGCTATATTTATCACATGGACAAAACTGATTCTCAATCAGAGGATACAACTGAGAATTTTTGCATTTGTCTCTTTTCTTACTTTTTCCTGGAAAGAAGAAATAATTATTTTAGAAAGTTTGTATCAGTTTAAATCTCAGTTTAAATCAGTTTAAAAAAAAAAAATTAGCCATCTGCAAATTAAAGATAAATCCTCCAAAAAAGAAAAACCTAAGGCCAAAGTTTGCAAATTTAAGTTATTGAAATTCAATATGTGTTCCTAAAACTACTTACATTCAGTTTTATTTATTTAGGTTAATGACTTGAATTTCTTAAGTAACAAATGCCTACAGTTTGCACAAAGGTAACTTATGATAAAGCTACATATTTATGTTTACTTTGGATAAAAGTACATGGGGTGTACAAGCACTTTGAAAGCAGTTTGAAAAAGTTTGTAAATAAAGAAATGCATGATTTCCCCCTGTTTGATCAGCGGCATGAAGTCCAAAATAAATAAATAAACAAATCTCTGGATAAAACTTTCTCAAGTTGAAGAAAATTGCAAGAGGAAATAATATACATCTTCATTACAATAGTACCTTCTTCCTAATGTCAAAACTGTTTAAATTCACCACCTGTCACCACACGTTTTGTTAATAATTACCATTCCTCTTCCCTATTAGAGAAAGCTCCTTCTGTGAATTTGTTTCTCATCAAATATAATTTTTCTTCTCAAACTGCAGTGTGCCCACCCAACTCACCTCCCAACCCCCATTAAATTTATTTTTAATTTTCTCTATAGTTAACTTTGCTCTATTTTCCTTTCTGTATATGACAGCTCATGTATATTAATTAAGAAGTCTTCTCAGAAGCAGTTTTAAAAAATCCCTGCTACTTAGATGTTATGATAAATTAATATTTTGCAGTATTTTCTTTGATTGTCAAAACTAAGCACTGGACACAACTTTGCAGCCCCTTTAGTTCTTATATTTACTACTGCCTTTATTTACAATGAAAAAGAGGGCGTGTGAAGAAATTAGTTCCTTTTTCTTTTGATAATACAACTTTATACTAAGAATATCCTCCTCATCATCATTTTCACTAAGGATAATTATGAATGAACTCCCAGTTACCTGTATGGTAGCTCGTTGCAACAAAGAATGCACCATAGCACCTACCTGTGCTTTAGCAAATCTGAAGGGGTGACTTAACAATCAGAAGGTAAGAATCTCCCAGTAATGATAGTGTGGTAAGAGTCTATTATTTCTTGCCTTTTTTTTTTTTTTTTTTAATTGTTAAGGTTTTTTTTTCCCCATATCCCCACATGTGGCAGCAACCTTGGCATAAAGTTCATTGGAGTTGTAAGACAGTCACTATGAGCTATGGACTTACTGGACAAAGTCCATCAGAGAGCTATCAAGGCCTCGAGCACCTCTGCTACGAGGAGAGGCTGAGAGAGCTGGGACTCTCAGCCTGCAGAGGCAGCTCAGGGGGATTCTTATCAATGTCTGTAAATACCTGGAGGGCAAGTGCAAAGAGGATAGAGCCAGGCTCTGTTCAGTGGTGCCCAGTGTCAGGACAAGAGGCAATGGACACAAAGTGGAAAGCAGGAGGTCCCATTTAAACATCAGCAAACACTTTTTTGCTATGCAGGTGCTCAGTAAACCCATTTATGAAGTGTTTAAGAAGCACGGGCACAGGTTGCCGAGAAAGGCTGTAGAGATTCAGTGATTCTGTGAACCTTCTTTACCTCTTTGTGCACAGGCTGCAAAATCAGGATGTGGAACAAGCAAGTTATGAAAACCTTTTAAATACCAAAAAGGTATAGCCCTTTTGCTGTAAAGACAATGGAGTACACAACAAAATGCAGGTAAAGATTTTTTTTTTTATTTCCTCAGACCCTGCATCAGATTGTTGGTTTATTATGCTGCCTGAAGTTTTCCACCTCCCTACAACTAGAGATAATGCTGACTTATCTGTCAGAAAAATAAATGGTCTGCTTTACACTTTACTATCTATACACCATAGAGCAGAAATGTCAGCTTCCTTTGTCTTCCTTACTTCTCTCTACCCACTTCACTATGATAAAGTGTTTGATACATAAAGCAGGAGTTCTCTGTTTTGTTGGTGTTGTTCCACCAGCTATATAGAGCATTACAGTAAGAATGGGTCTGCTTTCTGTTCCAATGACAAATGTTGCTTGCTTGTCATAAGGGAGCCTCAGAACAACTAAGGCTTTAATCAAAACAGTAGCAACAATTAATAAAAGATGCACTGTTTTTCTTGTTACTCTTACCAACAAGAGTGCGTTTTCTTGTTCTGACTCCTCCACAGTCCCCATTACAGGAAGAAAACTTTGACCAGTTTGTAAATTGACAATCATCTTGGCAAGGAATCTGGCACGTCTGTGTTAAGGATGGTAAGGGGCCAGCATATTTAAGGCACTCACTGATGTCAGCCTGTCCTCCATCTTGTCTGCGACAAGTAATTGCTGGAAGGAAAAAAGAATGGGGTTTAATTCAGCAGTTTTTCATGGATGTCTCTAATTTAGTAAGTCTACAACATACTACCACAAACTGACATTGAAAGCCCATAATAGCTATACAGCAGCCTAATATTTTAAATCAGTTACATCTTGAATTAATACATTTGATATTTCTAACTTTTTTTTTTTTTTGAGATTTTCTTTAAATTACTATTTATCAGTATTTACCAGGAAAAAAAAAAAAAAAAAAAAAAATTATAGACAACTGTAAATATTATAAAGATCGCACCATGTTATCCATACTATTGTATTGCTTTTCACATTATCATTTTTCCTACAGAGATAGGCTAATACTTAGGCATTTAAAAACTTGAAATACCATTTTAAGTAGCTGAGTAGTGCATAAGATATAAAATTGTATCAATAACATATATTTTAGAAAAGGGACAGACATAAAATTTAGAAATATATTCTAAATACGGCTTAGCCACTTGCAGCAGTATTTCTGCTCAATGTTCTTCAGAAGGTTTTGTTCTTGTAAAAAAAGTTGAATGACTAATCCTGTTTGCTGTGGGTGGGGTACCAATGTGCAGGGGCACAAATTCTTATAGGACAGCCACAACGTGAACAAAATCTTCTTAAAAGAAAAATATTTTTCTTTAAAAAAAAAACACAGCTGGCACAAAAGGAAGTATTTTGAATACAAGGATTTACAAATAGGGCTGTTCTGTTAATATAGGCTTTAACAATGTTCTATTGCTGTTCTTCATGTTTTTTTTTTTTTAACATGGTTGCTTATCTATTATTCTAACCTAAGCCTCAGTAAATCTCATTTTATTTCCTTGCCCCCAAAACCATAAAAGTTATTATGCAGTAACTAGATTGGAAAGTTTTAGTTGTTTGTTTACACAATGGAATCATATTTATGCTTCTTGGCATCTGACAGCACACAGTATATGCAGTATCTCATAATGACTGTGAAAGTAATTTGGATCACCAATTGTTGCAGCAACATTACACCCAAATACAATATATCATTCTCTATACATATGACAGAATATCATGTTTTATATTACACACTGCTCCATAATTTAAACATAGTACTTCAATTGTACTGACAATAATTGTTTTATTGATATACGAATTGAAAAAAAATGTAAATTTTACCATCCAAACTATTATGGTATAATCAAGTTCAACTGTTGGAGAAGAAAACATGTTTGAATGCAAAGTTTCAAAATAAAACAGAAAATAAAACAGAAAATGAGCTATACATGATTTTTTCCTTCCAGAGGAAGGAGGAATATTTGATGAAACGCATTTTTTTTTTTTTTTATGATTGTTTCAAGGCAATTGGAGGTCTTTTGTGACCTGTGCAAAAACCTTTTTTTCTTTCCTGATAAAGCTTTTTTTCTTCTGATAGTTCTAAATTTCTACTTCATGATGACTGTAGGAAGTTGAACTTGATGACCCAAATGGTCTGTTTCAAACCTATGTGCCTAGTAAAACATACCTAAAGGCCCTAAGTGAATTGTTTTTTCCACATCCGTGGTAAAACACCGTGAAAGAGGGGGGAGGGTTGTTCTTCTAGAGATACTAAGCAAACAACTTGCCTGATCCTTGACTGCCCTTTGGTGTAGGGCTGCCAGCAGTGTTTGTAATAGGCTCAGCACTGCATTAAGTTGCGCTTACTGGGGGATCAACCAGCTGTACATTGTCTCATACAATTACTCTGTCAAATCATATTATTATTGGTGGATGTCATACAAAGAACCTCCCCCTCACCCCCCTTTTTTTCCAGATATAACAATTCAATGAGCAAAACCAAATATCTAAAATTTTAAATTCCATATAACAACAATTTTAATGATGTGTGTGAGCCATACCTCCTGTAGGATTTCTATAGTTATCCAAATATTACAAAAAAAGCATAAGTCAAACCAGTATTTTCTAATGCAGACCTGGATTATGGTTTGGGATTCTTTTGAGATACTCTTTCCAGCTAATAACATACATAATACCCCAGGGGAAAAACATAGTTCAGACAAGTTCTACTACGTGGAAATTTCCAGAGGTCAAACCTAAATCCTCTGTCTTGAATTTGACTTTTTCACTCATCAGTAAAACTAACTGCATTATCTTCACTACATTCTCAGGGGGATACAGGACACCGTTTTTAGCAATGAAAACTGTATCTAGCAAAGGGCTAAAAGATTGTCCATTGATTAACACAATAACTTTTAATAACCAATCTCAAAAGTTTAATACCCATTCTAGATACCACCTCTCCATCTAATCCTTTGAGAGGCCATAAACACTGTCCATTGATAAACATTCTTTCTAGCTAAATTGAGTTTTTCTAAAGCCAATATTAATTCTATCTTCCTTGGTCATTAAACACTACTCTGAAGGCAGATATTCACCGTGTCATAATTTTTTTCAGAATCATATTAGTACATCAAATTTACACCAGGCAGACACAGGTGAGAAATTCTGTTGGGGTTTATCACTTTTTTTTTTTCCTTTTTTTTTTCTTTTTTTTTTTTCCCTGATTAACTGTCAGCTGAACTGTAGCAATCAAAGAAGGAAAACTTCATTCTTGAGACCAAAATATTTCACCTTAATAACAAGACAAATTAGAAGACAGCTTGGCATACCAAATCAATTCCCAAATCTTAATTTTCAGAGGGACTGTCCATAATTATTCATACTATTCCTATTTGACAGGACCTGGATCCATTTTACTGTTGTTATTCCACAGATTAGGGTATACATTTGAAAGGTTAATACTCCTTTGACTGTTAGAAGAGTGGCTATTTTTTCATTACTTAAAGTAAGGATTTTGACCAATGCATGCATACCATTAACACATTATTTTGGCTAAATGTCTTGCTTGACATCAGCAATGCCCTTACTTTTAATGGAGATGTTAAGAGTACATTTTTCAAACACAGCCTAATATGGGCAAATTCAGCCCCTGCATCTTTGATCAAATGCAATTCTGTAATTACATTCAGTAAATGTCACTGAGTTCAATGGTTAACTTATGGTTAACTTAGTATACAAAGCAATGTCTTCAACTACTATAAAGCCATGCCGTGCCAGACTAATTATTTTGCCTATACAACCATGTCACATTTATTACAGACATTAGCAGTAAATGGAAAGAGTGCAGTTCTTCTGTTACTAAATTAAGCACAAGTAATTGTTAAGTGAAAACATAAAACAGGAGTATGGCTAACTGAAAAATCAAATTTAACAAGGAAACTATTCACTTAGGAAATTGTTTTGGTATTAAACAATTATTATCTCCCAGAAGAAAGGTGTGAAATAAATGGCAGTCCAAATTTTCTGGACAAGGGACTTTGATGTAATTAAAACTTTATCTGATAGCATTGTTTCCACTAAGTCACAGGGGACTACAGGCTAATACATTTGTTGGTGGCATAATGAAAAACAAGACTGTATTTTAACAAGTCTTGTTATACACAAGTTTACATAAAGATCTTGCCAACACTGTTCCCATCATTAATGTACTTCACTGAGATGCAAGATTCAGTGACCTCACAGACACCTAAAAATAGCATTACTTTGTAAAGAAAACTGACAAAAGAGTACTTTGTAAAGAAAACTTGAGGTCAAACTGACAGGCCTATAGTTTCCCGGGGACGTCCTCCAGCCCTTCTTGTAGATGAGCGTCACGTTTGCTAGCTGCCAGTCGACTGGGACCTCCCCCAATAGCCAGGACTGCTGATAAATGACGGTAAGCAGCTTGGCCAGGTCCTCCGCCAGTTCTCTCAGTATCCTCAGGTGGATTCCAACTGGCCCCATCGACTTGTGTACATCCAAGTGCTGTAGCAGGTTGCCAACCTTTTCTTCATGGATAGTGAGGGCCACATTCTTCTCCCCATCCCCTTCCACCAGTTCAGGGTACTGGGTATCCAGAGAGCAACTGGTTTTGCCACTAAAGACTGAGGCTAAGAAGGGATTAAGCACCTCTGCCTTTTCCTCATCTTTCATAACTAAGTTCCTCCCCCCTGCCCCCCGCATCCAGTAAAGGCTAGAGATTCTCCTTAGTCCTCCGTTTTTCAGTGATGTATCTGTAAAAACATTTTTTGTTGTCTTTAAAAGCAGTAGCCAGATTGAGCTCCAGATGAGCTTTGGCCTTTCTAATTTTGTCCCTGCACAACCTCGCAACATCCTTATAGTCCTCCCGAGTGGCCCGCCCTCTTTTCCAAAGATTGTAAACACTCCTTTTTCTGCTAAGCACAAGCCACAATTCTCTGTTCAGCCAGGACGGTCTTCTTCCCTGCCAGCTTGTCTTTGGACACATGGGGACAGACCGCTCCTGCGCCATTACGGTTTCCTACTTGAAGAGCGCCCAGCCTTTCTGGACTCCTCTGCCCTTCAGAACCGCCTCCCAAAGGACTCTGCCAACCAGTGTCCTGAACAGTTCAAAGTTCAAATTGGACTCCGGAAGTCCAATACAGCGGTTTTACTGGTCCCCTTCTTGGCTTCTTCAAGAATGGAGAACTCTACCATTGCATGGTCACTCTGCCCAAGACAGTTTCCAACCACCAACATCTCCCTCCAGTCCTTCTCTATTTGGGGCACTTCCTTGGTAGGCTCACTAACCAGCTGTGTCAGGAAGCTATCTTCCACACTCTTCAGAAACCTCCTAGACTGCTTTCTCTGGGCTGTGTTGTGCTTCCAGGATATATCTGGGAAGTTGAAGTCCCCCACAAGAACAAGCGCTAACGATTTCACAACTTTTGTCAGCTGCCTGTAGAACTCCTCATCAGTCTCCTCATCCTGGTTCGGCGGTCTATAACAGACCCCCACCAGGATGCTTGCCTTGTTGATCTTCCCGCTGATCCTAACCCATAGGGACTCAACCTTACCATTCCCAGCCTCACGTTCCACGACATCCAAACTCTCTCTGATATAGAGAACCACACCACCACCCCTTCCTTGCTGCCTGTCCCTTCTGAAGTGCCTACAGCCAG